CTTCTTCGTACTTTTTTGTACTTCTCCGTACTTCTGAAGTACGAAGTACGAAATACGGGATTTCGTATTTCGTACTTCGTACTTCAGAAGTACGGAGAAGTACAAAAAAGTACGAAGAAGTACGAAGTATCAAGAAGTACGGAGAAGTACCAAGAAGTACAGAAGTATGCTTTTTCCCCCTTGGTAGAACTACTCAACACATAAAAGTCTATGAGATGAAAAACCTTTTATTAAATCCAGGGATGGATTTTCATATGAGAGTTATTAAACTTTTATTTATGTCGAATCGTGACATCCTCCTGAAACCTTTTTGACGAAGATACGTTTTCTTCGTAAGTATTTCGACAGAAATCAGAGAGTCATCGAGAAAATTTACCTCATTTGTGCTTGATGATGGCCGTACACTTTCAATATATCTGTCACATGTATCATGCATTTCCTGTTTAGCAATATCCATATCAACTTGAACAAATCGCTCATCAACCTTATACATTGCCAAAAAAATTTCTTTAATTCGTCTTAACCATATATAGGATACGGATGCCTCTGTTAAACTGCTTATGGATATTTTTGCTCCATCAAATATTTTCAACGGTAAAACATCTTTGTGTTTTTTGTCGTCAGAATTCATTTATTAACTTCTGAAATACGAAACAATCATTACAAATTCTGCTTACGGTCAATCTATAAACAAGTGAATTGTATATTCACAGTACACTTCATCATTCCTTTACAAAAATAAAAGTTCGAATTCGAAAAATCTAGTAACCCCTTCCCTCCCCCATAATAGAAGACCAACCTTCTAAAAACCAACTGAGAATGAATACTTTGATTTTTGAAAAAGGTTTTGTAGTACTTTGTTTAATTTTTTTCGGCAACGAAAAATTTGTCTAAAACCAGAACAATATCAGATCTTGTTGAGGTTTTTGTGCTCGTTCAAGTGATGTATAATTTAAAAAAATCAAAAACATAATAATGTAACCACAATTAAAAGACAAGAAATACAAAATTCTTCAATTTTTGAAAACTTGTTGGTACTTTTTAAAACATTTTTTTTCAACGATGAAAAGTTTTCAAAGGCTAAAAATTCAGATTTATAGGTAACTTTGGATGAGGAATCCGAAAATCGTATTTAAAAAAAATTTCTTTTTCGAAGGTCAAGTATCCTCTACAATCTGGGAAGGTTTAAGAGTACCTTCTATGGGGTTCCGTCCTCCCTTAAGATAAACCTTGTCTGATTTAGAAAATGAAAGTTCAGAAAGTTTAATAACAACCTAGATAAGTCAGCTGAATCATCTGCAAAACGACATAGTCATTTTAAAATAGGATGATAGAAAAACGGATATATTCATATATTCACATTTTCCAGCTAATGTGTTTTGATAATGAAATTTATTTCAACCAGAGCTTTTGAATTGAAAGATCCATCTAGTGAAAACACTTGTACATATGTGAAGAAAAATTTGTCTACAGTTAGATATATACATATTCCAGTGGCTTTCATATATGTATATATCTAACTGTACTAGAGAAAAATGGAACAATTTTCACACAATAGGTGTCCGCTCAATTTTTGGTTAAACAATTTATCTTTACACTTACTATGTTTTTATTGAAGGAAACGACGTATTCATAAATTATAAATCGATGTGTTATATTCATGTTGACACTTTAAGTTACGCTCCACTGCTTATACGTATATTCCTGAGGGCTTGGGTGACTTTCATTAAAATGGCTGTGATCTACAGTTTCTGATGACACAAGAATTTCATTAAAATTTTAATGAAAGTCACCCAACCCCTCAAAAATATACGTATAAGCAGTGGAGTGTAACTTAAAGTGCCAACATGAATATACTCACGCATTGATTTATAATTTATCAATACGTCGTTTCCTTCAATAAAGATATAGTAGGTGTAAAGATAAATTAATAGATTGGATAACGATGTTAATTGATGATGCACTCCTATCGTGTGTGCATGCACTTATGTGTGTGTGTGTGCCGTCTAATATGAAGACGATGTTCGTTTTGTTTGTTCAAATGAAAAATGGAACAATTTTCACACAATAGGTGTCCGCTCAATTTTTGATTAAACAATTTATCTTTACACTTACTATATCTTTATTGACGGAAACGACGTATTCATAAATTATAAATCGATGTGTGTGAGTATATTCATGTTGGCACTTTAAGAAAAGCTTTATCGTTTTTTTGTTTTATTGTTCAGATTTTTTTCTTTGTTTAATTTTGTAAGAGTAAAGAAATTTTTTGAAATATGTGTGAAGGAGTGTCTTTTATTGCATTGGTACCATTTTAAGTGATAAAAAATTGATGCACTACCAATGCCACTTTGTCTATAATAGCTCTTACATGTTTTAAAAAATTCGACTTCATTTTCGTTTCTTTTCTACAATATCAACTACAACAACAGGAACACCGATAACTTGTAAATCAACAGTGAATAATGGTCTATCATATGGTACAAAGAATCCAGTATTAAGTCGAACCTATGGATATTATTCCTAAACCTATTGTCCAACATCATCATCAGCAACATCAAAATTTTCGTTTAGAAATAATCCTAGTTCTTGGTATTTAGATGATGTAACAATTTTAACTGGATCTTTAAATCAAACACAATTAATAGCGAATGGCAATTTTGAAACTGGTAGTCTTTTAAGTTGGACAGAAACTGGTTTATATAAAGGTTCAGTTGGTACCGGTTCAAATGAATCACATACAGGTAATCATTATTATATATTATACTGTATTCGTGATATTGATTACTTATGACAAACAGTACCAATATATAGTGGACAATTACATTGTATTGATTTTTAGCTCTATACCGAAAGATCAGATGTTACAACTACATTATTAAATATAACAACTTTACCGAGTTGTGAAAATGTCAGTTTTATACGCAATCATTTTGGGTATCGGTGTATGTAGTAGTTTGTTCCATTTTTCTTTACCAGTACCACCATCCACTAGTGGCCAACATTCGACTACATCACACGAGCATATAAATTACAATTTAACCTCTCAGAATACACTTCAGTCGGGACCAGTACAATTATCGAATAACGATACAACTCAACCAATTGAAGTTCCGAATGCTTTTCTAACCGGTGAGAAATATAGAAATAAACCATAAGTTTTGCATTTCTATACCAACAGCTAATACTCGAAAAACTATGAATGCAGTTTTTTCACGAAACTATGTAATAACCTTGGGCAAGTGTTCGTAGTGTTTTAAACGTAACTTGTATCCTTTCCTGTGTCAGTACTAACAATGAAGTATGTTTTCATGTTTTATTACTAAAAGCTTGTTCAGATATAATATGAACTAATACGAGTGAGTAGTAGTTTATTTACAAAGAAAAGAGACTCTGTACTTTAACAAAGAAAACGGATGTATTTATATACACAATACACAGTGGGCAATTTTCACTAGGCACGTGGTCCTTTGGCCTGCAAGCTAGAAGAAAACTTAAAAGTGCGTTTTTTTATAGATTATCGAAGTTTCCCTACAAACATGGCTGAAGTATACACCATTCGACGCAGCTTTTTGCGCTGATTCCAAATATGTCGTTATTTTTTAACTTAAATGTAACGAACCTAGAAAAACCTAAGTTATTTCAATACCGAGCTTTTTTTTGGAAAACCTATAACTCGGTCCAAGAGCGCTTGTGCTGGTTTGCGCCATCAGTTCATATGTATCGTTAGTAGGTCTAACTTCGGTAAAAAATTCATTAAATTTGAAGCTTCAGAATAAATCGGAAACCGATTACACTGAGCACACATTTTAGGAAAACGCGTAGCAAAAAAAGAAAGCTAATTTTCTCGGCCATCGAAAAGCCAAAACAGAAATTTTTTTTACGAATGGATAGAGCGAAATGCCTAGTTTTAGACTATGTAAAATTTTAATAAATATCGTCTATTGTTTGTCGCAGAATGATTTTCTATCTTAACCGCTTTGTTTTTCTAAAAAACTTTTATTGTCGATTTTCCCGTTAGAAAGGACACCTAGAAAAAAACTTGCAATGGCAAAGTTATAGAGCGTACGCCAAAGTCTATGATGTGCTATTCAAATCTCGAAAAATCTCACTTTCGTTTTTTCACCTAAATATGATGTGATTGCGCATTGTGCAATATTGCGCAATCATCTTGGATATTGTGGTGCAATAACCATGACCATATCCTTGTGTAATCACCTTCACCATGATCTTACGCAATTACAAATAGGTCGGTTCGAAGAATGGAACAGAAAATGATATAAGAACAAAACCGACGTAATGAAGTCTACATGCAATAAGGGAACAGTGATGAAACATATTTACATCGAAGAACGAGGACATTACGTCAGAGAATGAGAATTTCTAAAGTTTCTGAATGAGATTTTCTACGCTTCCTAACACAAGTTACTTATGTTTACATGCGTCAGGTCACCTATTAGCAAAAGGTCACTCGCCTGTAGTGCGATGCCCTCCGCTAAATAATTAGGTAAATAAAAAGATATAAACTTAAGAACAAAATAAAAGAGTAAAAATTTATCAGGTCGGGTTCGGGTTAAGTTGTTATCGGATCGGGCCAGGTTCGGGTTAAGATGTTGCCGGGTCGGGTCGGGTTCGAGTTACGTTTTCTTAATCCGCGCAGGTCTCTAGTGCGCTGCTTCCAAATATGTCATTATTTTTAAATAAAAGTGCTGCTGCACTGGAAAGAATAGATTTTAACTCAAAAACCTGTAACTCCACTCAGAAATTGTGGAACTAGTTGGCGCTATCCATGTATGATGTATGGTAAGTAAAAGAGCATGCTGCTAAAATTTCATCAAATTTGGAACTGTGAAAAACTGTGGAAACTCACTATACTGAACATAGCTTGTCGGAAAACACGTGATCGTTCACTATGTGGTGGTAAATAATAATAAAATTCAACTAAAGGTGTACAATCCATCTATATCCCCGATGATATTACAGAAACATATGAAAATGGGAGTTATTTGTAGATTATCATTTAATACATACCTCTCAACAATGATTGAAGAATCACGAGTGATGATGATACATGCGATAAATAATACCCCGATGAGTGTTTCAGTACATATGGATACATTAATAAATTTACTGATTAGTCAATTACATGAACAATAAATATTCAATCCCATATTATATTTCAACCGGGTACAAGACGTTATTGATACATTAACACGTAGAAAAGTTAAAACACCAATTCATCATGTTGTTGGCACACGAGATCATCCACCAATTAATGCCAAACCATATTATAAAACAGTTCAACAAAGGAGAAATATACAAAATAAAGTAGATAAAATGATTAAAAATGGAATTGTTATACCCTCTCATTCAGCATGGTCAACGTCTTTTGTATTATTAAAGAAGCGAAGCGGTGAATTCTGTTTTATTGTTGACTACAGGAAATTAAACTCCATCGCAAAGAATCAGGTCATAACAACGAAAACAGATATCATTTAGTTTGAAATGTTTACATTACTAATATGATGCTTAGTAATTAAATCATAGTTCTATTAACCATTCAAAGAAAATTAACTTATTATTCCTGCTTTTGGCTCACTAGAGATTAGACGTACTCATTAGCTGAATAAC